GAATGATGTAAACAAGGTATCTAGATACCAGTTTATCACATCTTGGGGGAAATGTGCAGATCCTAATTATTGCTAATGCTAGTTCCACTTTCCCCTACACCCGTAGTCGGCAAACTGCAGCTTGCGAGCCACATGTGGCACTTTGGCCCCTTGAGTGTGCCTCTTCCTAAGCCTTAGGAGTACCCTAAATCAGTTAATAACAATGTATCTACCTATATAGTTTAAGGTTAAAAAAGTTGACGCTCAAAAGAAATTTCAATCATTGTACTATTGATATTTGGCTCTGTTGACTAATGAGTTTGCCGACCACTGATCTAGATGAGCCTCAACTGGGCTGACTGGGCACTTCAAGTCTCTGCCACGTATCTGTTCCATGCCAGTAGCTACCTCGGGAATGTCCTCACGTAGATGACAGAAACACAAGAAAGAGCAGCATACTTGCACTTCTGCTTCATTCTGTTATTCAAAGCCAGGCACATGGCCAAGTCCAGAGACAGAGGTTTCTTTGCCGGCTAAGCAGTCAAAGAAAAGTTGCTTAAATATTAGGAAATTGATCATTTCCTAATCAATTAAAAGAAAACTTTGAATAGCTGACCTATAAGACTCCATAGAAAGAAAGAACTTATATCAGATTTACCTTTGCTGGTAATTTTCTGTATGATATGTAAATTGTTGACCCTGAAGCCTAGACCTTCTCTGTCCTATTTTGCTTGATCTGAGATCATATTTATAAAAATTTAAATGATCATAAACCCCAGATAGTTTATATTTACCTAAGTTGCAACACATCATAATTCCCCAATTTGTACACTATTTCAAGCCTCTGGGGTCTTACTTGGACTGCTCTGTGTCCAAGTAGAGAAGTAGAGGTCTTTATACCTCCTTTTGGTATGGCTTGAAGACCCTCTACCTTATGCCCTAAAAAAAAAAAAGAGAGAGAGGAGAAGAGCGCGGATTGGTTTGGCTCAGTGGATAGAGCGTTGGCCTGTGGATTGGAGGGCCGGCAGTTCGATTCCAGCCAAGGACGAGGGGGAGGGGCTTTTTGGAGGGGAGCAGGTTTTTGGAGAGGAGGAGGCTCTGGTGTGAGCCTGTTCTTACTGCACCGCCTGGTTGGTGTCTGGGTTAGCATCTGCCTGTACAAGCCTGTAACCACAGCCTTTTCTGCCCATGTCTTTGTGACTAGAACTAATCCGTGTGTATGTACTTGTTTTGAATCACTAAATGTGAACAGCAAGTTAGAGAATCTGGCACTCCCATCTTAAGAACAGGACAGTTTCCAGATGGGACTACAGATGTCTCCATTAGAGTTTGCACTACAGAACGGAGGCCCTGTGGTTCTGACTGAACCCACGCGCTCCGTGTGAGCCTGCTCTCACTGCCCCGCCTGCCCGCCCTGCATCTCTGCACAGCCTGGTTGGTGTCTGGGTTAGCATCTACCTCTGCAGCATCTACCTGTACAATGACTAAGGGGAGAGAAAAACCAGCTCCACTGAAAACCACAGGTATTCATTCATACAGGGACTCCTTTGCATTGAATATGCATTTTCTGATTATTCAGGTGGTTTATGTTTTCTTGCTTTATAGCCCCTTAAAGCTCCTAACAGCAGGATGCAGACTGTATTTTCTCCAAAGGAAGGCAGCAATGTAAAACGTCATGTTTACCAAGCCTTGGGAGCATGAAAGGGTGGGTTAGCTTGTGTGCACACAGCAGAGATCACAAGGCGAGGTGTTCTGCTAACAGCAAGAACATCGATTTAAAACATGGGATCAGGTGATGGGAATGGAGGTCACTTTGAGTGAAGGGGAAAGAAGGCCAGCAGAATTGCGCAGCTGTGTTCCTTATGTTACCTCAGCCCAAGACTTCTTAGCAAAGGAGGAGAGCTGTGATTAGAGCTGGATCACAGGACAGCTCCACAGCGTGGTGACTCAATTATGGCCGCTGGGAAGCCAGGACAGTTGCACAGTGGCACACGCCACTTTCCTAGCTGCATAATGCTTTTTCTCCAGAATCAAGACTTTAAGGATTTAACCAAGGTCACCTTTTTAAAAAATTCTGAAAGAATCTTCGTCCTAGATCCACACAAAGTCCCACAACTTATGGATTCATTTAATCATGAGTTGATATAAAAGAGGCATCTCTTGATTCAAACTTGCAGACAGAAATGCTGTGGGATCTCACCCACTAACCATCACAGCATCCACTGCAGAACTTTCCCTTCTGCACTAAAGTAATGAACACCGGAGAGTAGGGCAGAGGAAGCCCATGATTTCTGCTGGCTGTCTGCACAAGAGCTCCGAGAAGGAAGTATTCTGAATGATTTTCTGCTTTTTTTGGCCACCAAAACAGAACCGTCAAAGGTACTCTGAATAATCACTCTGAGATAGATGACTTCTAGGCAAACTGGAATGCATGGTTATTCCAGATCTAGACAGAGAAAGCTAATGGTAGAGAGAACTTTAGAATAATTGATATTGATAAAGTTTCCATTTTACCCTTCCTTCCCAGCTTATTAATATTTATGGAATATCGTCTCCGAACACCATACGAACCACTTCATACCTGAGACATGGGTGAGTGGGTCGCTCCAGCAGAACCCGCAGAGGCTACCTCAGGCTTGAAAGGGTCAAAGTCCAGATCCAACAGTGTCTCCTCTTTCTTCACCTCAGGGACTTCATTCTGTTCAAACAAAACAAAACATGCACAGCCTGAATCTGATAAGACTTCATCATATAACTCACATAATCCTCTAATATCAGTCAGTATTCCAATGGCAGTTTACTGTTTAGGTGGCTCATCCACATGCTCCCAGAGTCACCAGCTACCTGTGATGAAAGGGGAAATAACCAACTCTGGCCAAGGAAAACCTAAGATGCCCAGAAACATGGCCCAGGTTTCAGTTGCTGTCCATTGCCAGCTCCAAGTTCAGCCAACATAGAGAATGTCTGAGAGATGTATCCTACTGCTGCAAAGACCTAAGGAATCTTCCTCTCTGCTAGTTCCTATATCTCAGATCAAGAATTACAGATGATCAGATGGATAAAATGGGCCAAGGCATCAACTCATTACAGGAACTCACAGCTATGATGTCCTCTGTGAAGCTAAATTTTATAAGGAAGAAGGGATCATTGTCTACTGTGACCACATTCCACCTGGCTCACCCCCAGTGGTACCCTATCCCTAGAGTTAATTATCATGTATCCATTCCTCATCCATAATATTGTTTTTCTGGACTGTTGAGTATGAGGGTGGGACAGTGAAAGGAAGAAGGGGAGGAAGAGAAGAGAACAATGCCCCCCCAATGTTCATCACAAAATGAGCTCTTCGCCCAATAACATTCTTGGATTAGAGAGAAGGTAAGTCAAATAGGACATAGAACAGAAGTCCTACTATGATAATAGCAAAAATTTATAAAAATAAATATTATCATTTGGTCATTTATTATGGTATCATGATACAGGAAAAATAATGTGGGCTTGAAGTTGGCCTAACCCAGGTTCAAGTTACACAGTATGAGGCAGAGCTGAAATAAAGTCCCCATAAACTAGACCATGATAAAGAGAATTAGGATTGGTTTTCACACAATTCAAGTTACATGTGTTTGATATTTAATATAAGCTTCAATTTTGACCATCTGTTGTATAAATTGAAATTTCACAACAATGGATAAAGTATTATATGAGAACACAGCTATTTAGAGAAAAACTTTAAAGAACAGGAATTATTTTAATTAATATCGGTCATAAACATAAAATAACTTAACTCAGGAATGTATGGAAAGCTACATAATAGATCGTATATTTTTTTAGTTTATCTACACGCACTGTAGAAGGAAATCTACTTCAATATCATGATGTTGAGCTCTTTCTTGAGTTATCTGTTTTGCAGCATGATTACTCCTCACACATATACTTTTTAAATTTCACGAGGATAATGCTTTACCGAGATCCCGCTTATATTACTAGTCACAGTCACAAAACTGTCAACTGATTCCCTTGGCCCCTCTTCAAAGTCTGCATGAGTTTTGTCACCGACTTTTATATTGGTTGGTACAAATTACATTTTTAACATTTTGAAAACACATATTACACTTAGAATGTGCTAGGCAGGCACTGTGGTAATAATTTTATAACTATGAACATTAACTCGTGTTCATGCACTTTGCTGCAGTCTAATGACAACAACACCATTGCCCTAAAAGAATTACTTTACTCTATTCCCCAATCCACGATTTACCTGGCTTGTCTGATCATTACAGAAAATTGAAGGGCAGATCGCATCCTTTTCCCATTTGGAGATGAGGAGTCTGAGCTGAAGGACGTTACCTATGGCCCTGGGTCCCCGCCTGCAATGCCGCTGGTCCGGACAGCAGTCCGATACCTGTGACTCCCATGCTCTTCCAAGCTGCCACTGAGATCCGCCCCCACCTCTCTCAGACGGGGGTCCTCAAGATCTGCAGAGGAATTCTCAATGCTCTGTGAGTCAGTCCTCCAAAACATTTCCGGCTGCACAAATATACCCAAGTCCCTTATGAGCCTAATGGATCCCCTTAAGGAGCCTCAAATGGGAATTTAGAGATCATGGGTGAAAAGAGGCATTAGACTATAACTGCTATGCTGAGCCTTTGATTGAGATAAATAAATCTGGGTGTGCAGCCCAATTTTGCCACTTACTAGTTGCGTCTCTCTGAGCAATTAATTAAGCTTCATTGAGCTTCATGCATACAATGAAAATAATTTTATCTACTAAGATTGCCAAGAGTGAGTGACAAAGACAACAAATACATTGTACATAAAATACAGGACATACTCAACATGGAAATGGAAGCTGATGTAGTTAATTACTATTAGTAATCATGTATATCCATGTAAAATTATTATCAAATAGCCATAATACTAGTTTGGTTGCCTTTAAAATGTGTAGCTGATTTTTTCAGGCTCAATGTATATTTGTTTTTTCCCGTTAATCTTGAGAGTTATACCTTAAGACACTCACATCACAGAGTAATTTGATAGAATTACACAAAGAGCAAAAAGGGGTTGCCTGTTTATGTCTGCCCTGGAGCCACACAGCATCGCAGAAAGAGGACAGATTTGGTCATCTCTGAAATAGGGATAATGACCTGAAGATCACAGGAATGTCACGTATGCATCCGGGAAAACCTTCTCGGTGCATCTCAGCTTCCTAGCTTCCGATGCTCTGCTTCTTGGCAGCTGGCATCTCATTTTCTCCTGAAATTTTGTTTATTTTTGAATCGTTTCTCTGTGCATGACTGAAAACATCACCATTCTGGTGAGATAATCCATTCACTGGGAATATTTAATGTGACATATAATCAGATCAATATACGTAATATCATAAGCACACATGTCCACGTGTCTAAGTCCAGACGCCCTAAGTATAGAACATGTAAAGACACATTATATTTAAATGGACAATTGTAAATGGTCCATCATGACATACACTTGACCCAGTTGACTTTTGCCCTGAAAGAAGTCTGTTAACCCCTTCCCCGGCAGAAACGTGTATACTCGTTTTCACAAAATGTTCTTTTTCAGTCGTCGACGAGTATACTAAGAAAATATGGTAAAAAAATATGGTTTATAGGAAGACGAGTTACAAACTGTTTTCATAACCAGCATCAAAAATACTATATAGAACCAAAATAAAAAAATTAGTCTGAAAAAGAAACGTTTTTAACAAAAAAATTGTTGGGGAAGGGTATAATCCGCTGTGGTACTTTGTTCATAGCCACAAAACTCTATCATGTGGAAGGAATCCTGATGCTGTAAAACAGTGGTTCTCACGTGTGATCTCAAGACCAGCAGTGTCAGCATCACCTGGGAGCTTGTAGAAAAGCAGATGCTTGGCCCCCAGCCCAGATCTGCTGATCAGACACTGCTGGATGGGACCCAAACGGCTAAAGCAACACAAAATGGCTATATCCTATCTACCGAGGAAGAAGCAAGGAAGGGAATTGTTAGGCTGCGTCAGGAAATGTACAGGAAAGGCAGCACCTGTACATTTTAAAATAAAACCAGATTATGTCACTCAAGAAGCTAAAAAGTGATTGAAATATGAAACTTTGCTTCACTCCCTCCCTTGACATCATGACATGAGACTAACAGCCATTGAGTCCATGGAAATGCTGCCATGTGTCCACCTGCTAGAGCAGTGATGGAGAACCTATGACACGCGTGTCAGAGTGACATGTGAACTCATTTTTTTGGTTGATTTTTCTTTGTTAAATGGCATTTAAATATATAAAATAAATATCAAAAATATAAGTCTTTGTTTTACTCTGGTTGCAAATATCAAAAATTTCTATATGTGACACGGCACCAGAGTTAAGTTAGGGTTTTTCAAAATGCTGGCACGCCGAGCTCAGAAGGTTCGCCATCACTGTGCTAGAGCCATGCTGCTTCTCAGATTCAGAAAAAATGACAGAAACGCCTTTCTGCCTCCTCCCCATGTTAAAAGAAAATCATGTAAAGGAAACGGAACTCCCAAACTGCACCCCCAAAATGTCTCCAGTAGGTAGTTTTTGCAAAATCGCCTGGCAGATTGATAAGATGGATGGACGTGACGTACAGCCAGTAAGTTATAAAGGATCCTGGGCCGGAGAGGTTCCCCCTCCCTTCCCAACAACTCCGCAGTCTGCACAGGGACTGGCCACGCCAGCAAGTGCTCTGCCAGCTTACCGTCTCCCTGCAGCAGCGGCTGGAGAAGGTTCTGTTTTGAAAGGTGCTTGCTTCCCTCTCCCCCAACTCTTGACTTTTCCTATCACACTCTCAACAATACCAGCGAAAGTTAATGCTCTCAGAAGTACTTAGAGGCCTCTTCGGGCATTTGTAATTTTAAAAACTGCTTTGACCCTTTTTCCCCCCTCACCAGGAAGGACCCTTATCTATGAGCCAGCAAACTGCAAATACACACATTTCAAACTGCGGGAGCCCCATCTTTATTTCAGCGCTAGTCCATGTGTCATGTTTCCTCTACTTCAGTTGCTTCGACTGCTAATGGAGATGTCCTTAGCTGAGCACACATGGTACCTAGGTGGCCACGTTCTCGCTTTGTGATACGATTGGAAGGATGTTCTCCAAGGGTCCAGGTGAAAGCAAGGTCAGAGTAAGAACGCTATCACCCTAAACACTCTGACTGGAAACTGCAGCAAAGAGAACGAAGCTGGGCTGTTAGCAAGCAGCTCAAGTTTGGTGCCAGCAGAGTGCTGAGTAAGATCATTTGGTTCCAAACAGCTATTCCTGGCAGCATCTGTGTCTCCACAGGCATGATTTGTCCTTGTGCTGGTAAACATGCAACTCCCCCTCCTCACAGGACCTGCTAAATCTTGTTTCAAACCCTAGGTAGCTTACCAAATTCAGCAGTGCACACAAATACAGCATTTCATACAGAAGAAGGAAAACAATTAGCCAAAAGCATGGTGTCTCTTGAGAAATAGCCCCCCAAAAGGATGACAAATTATGATTTGCCACCGCACTGCTTTTTATTTTCTGAACCCCCTGATATCAGTGCATTACTTCTGTTATTATATGTGATTATAATTAGGCTGTTGTATGCAGTGTTGCTGTGGATGTGTTCAGTCACTAAAGTATTGCATTCACACATCTCGCAAAATGTAAATATTATTTCTAATCCTGAGAACACTGGGAGGAATGATATTGGCATGACTGGGGACTTTTCACTCTTAAAACGAAGAGTTGGTTTCGAAGACAAGAGGAGGACCTCTGGAAGTCAAGACCATTCTCAAGGCAATGGGCCAGCCAAGCCACTGGCAGAGACAGGTCTACAGTCCCCTGAGGGTAACCGGGGGTGGAGCACCTGCACCAGGTGTCTTTGAAATCCAGGGCAACACTGATGGTTCCATTTGCCAAGTCATGTGCACAGATACATTAAAGCCTGCTGAAGGGCAGAAGACTTTAAGTATTCACCTCTTTAATTTCATCTTCCCATTCTTTACTGGGCAATCAGAGAAAGGAAGTCACGAAGGTGCAAACATGAATTCGTTTATATTGACGTTCACCAAAGTGCTGGAAATCATGGAAAAATCAAAAGCAAACTGGTCACAGTCAGAGGCTGCTGAATCCACCCGATAGAATACACTTGGTTAAACATTTTTTAAAAAAAGATAATCCTATGACACGAAGAAATGCTCAGTGAGATTACGTAGAAAAGTCAGGAGTACATAACCATACAATTTGGGTACTGTGGGCAAAATCAGCATATAAGTGGGGGTGGCGGGGGTGGGGGTGGGAAGAAGACCAAGAGAAATAAGTCAAAGCATATTTGTAACTAAATCAGAGCGGTATGTTTTAAGTGATTGTTAGAATTCTTCATTTTACACTTTTCAGTATTTTCCCATTTTCTACAATAAATATGTGCTACTTAATCTTAATAATCAAAAATAATGTGAGCATTTTCAAATACTTGAAAATGTTTTAGACAAGCAAACCCGAATAGCTACTAAATTATATTGCTGGCTCTAATATCTGCCACTCTCTTTCTTTTTGTTAATCCTCACCCAAGGATATCTTTTCCATTGATTTTTAGAGAGAGTGGAAGGGAGGGGGAGAGATAGAGAGAGAGAAACACCTATGTGAGAGAGAGAGAGACACCCATTGGTTGGCTCCTGCATGCCCCGACCGGGATAGGAGATCATGCCTTCAACCCAGGTATGTGCCCTTGAATGGAATCGAACTCGAGACCCTTCAGTCCTGACACTAATACCACGGAGTCAAAGTGACTGGGGCTCTGCCACTGTCTTTAGAGCTGGCCCCTGAGAGTCCCTCCGCCACGCTACCCTATGGACATCCCACCTCTGTAATAGGCCCTCACCTGGGAAGGGGTCGTCACGCTGATTTCTGGAACAAAGTTGTCCTCGAAGAAACTGATGATGTTCTCCTGCTGCAGTTCCTTTGTCGGGGTGACTTTAGGCAGAGGTGGGACAGGTGGTCCTTTCCTCGTCTATAAGGCAATAAACACGAACAATACTTAATTCAGCCAAAGATGACATGTGAGACACGCAGAAACTCATGTGAACAGAGCTGGGAGGACAGACAGTTCACTAACCGAAATGCAGATTTGCACATAGAAACAAACCTACCTGATTAAGGTAAACAACGCCATCTGCGTGGGTGTCTCTCTGAGCACTGACAAGCCCTGGTCCAATAAAAAATTCGGGCTCTGAGGCTCCATTCACCCCAACACAAGAGCTACACACAGGGCCCGAGGCAGGTGCCTGTGACTCCAAGTGTAACGAAGGCAATACCTTCTCTGAAGCAACTGAAAACGACTTCTCAATTCAGCAATAAATTAAAATTGTTAAATTAAAGTCAAGCGAGTTTTTCACTGGAATTGGTGAGACTACGTACAGGGAGCAAGTATCTCATTTTCCGCTCCAATATTTTCCAAAGGATTTTAAGGGTCCATCCGTTCCATACATCTTCCTGGGCCTCTCCCGACTTACTGTCAGCCGTATACATGAAAGCTTGAACTGCACTGGAGATTTCAAGATTTCTCAATGGAATTTCATTTTCACCCAAAGCAGGAAAGGAATGGGTGGCAAATTTTCTCCATATTTGCCTTTCCCTGGCCTTTACAGTTTCTTTCAATCATTTGCTTCCTACACTTTTGTTGAGTGTCTATTCATGTACAATATAGGGCGGGTGATACCAAGTGTGAAGCCTGGCCAGCGTGGCTCAGTGGTTGAGCGTAACCTATGAACCAGGAGGTCACAGTTCAATTCCCAGTCAGGGCACATGCCAGGGTTGTGGGCTCAATCCCCAGTGTGGGGTGTGCAGGAGGCAGCCGATCAATGATTCTCTCTCATCATTGGTGTTTCTATCTCGCTCACCCTCTCCCTTCCTCTCTGAAATCAATATATATATATTTAAAAGCGTGAAATCGCATATACACAAAAGAGCTTTTCATGTCTATAAATTGCCCCAAATGTTACCTAAAGCACTACAGGAGGGAGGTTTCACAGAGAAGGTAGGATTACACGAAGCTCTAGGAAACGAAGCAAGAGATAGGAGCAGAGGAGAGTAGGGGAGCCTGAGATAAACGCTAAGGTATAGGGTGTGCCAGGAAATAAAAATCCAAATAAGAAAAATGAATTGACTCCTTAGTGACAATCACAATGCCTAAAGCTTCACACCTCAAAATCTCCCAACCAGAAACTCCTCTCCATGCCCCAGCACCGCAGGGCTATCCCAGATGGGTCACCCCACCACATGCTCTTCTAGTCACTGCAATGTATCTGCTCTCTTCCTACCTGAGAAGGTGACCGAGGCCGTGCTGGTGCGGGAGATGCAGGCGCCAGCGTATGATTGGGACTGGCTGTCGGGCTCGGGAGGGGTGAAGGCTCCTCGGGTGGTGATGGTGTCTTTGCGATGCGGAGAGGACCCGAGTCACTAGATGAACACAGGAGATGTGAGCAAGGGGCCTTCTAAGGAGCAGTATTTATTTACCAGGGGTCCTCCACTCCAGAGAAATCCTGAGCCCTAACAGCTCTCATTTATCTACTCCCCCTTCCAGGTTAATTCTGATGCTTATGAACGTTGATGTAATAACTAGTAACACTTATTGACCACTGTGTGCCAGACCCTGTCCATAGATTATCTCTAATCACCACAATACACATGCAGAGGGGTTAAAAATCCCTAAAGTCACTCAACAATTTACTGGATCTGAATTCAGGCCTTACTAATGCAACCCTTGATCTTTTCCACTGAACCAAACAGGCCCTGTAAGACTCTTTCAAATATAAGCTGAATTGAATGAACTAATCTCACTTTTGATTTACAAGAGAATCTTGCTATGTCGTAATCTATAGAAAACCCTTCCTTGAAAAGTATAACTTTTATGTTAAAAGGCATCCTTAGGGTAATGTTAATTAAAATTTCATAGGAGTGCCTCCTGACACCATTTGGAAATTCATTTCATTAACTGTTTCTGCTTCCACACCTTAAAGAGCGATGACTCGGCTCAGGCACCTTGAAATGTGCAAAAAAGTTATGTGATGGACCAGAGTCAGAAATATTTACCAACAGCCCACCACACCCATGGCACCAGGCCCGGTGCTAGTGGACAGCCCAAATTTAATGACTAAGAGGGCATTTGGGATGCATTCTGCTCTCTAAGAATTTCAAAAGTCTGTAGCTGAGGGAACAGGGCCTGCATCCCAAACCAAATGAGCATGTGCACAGCAGCATGGTCTACAGGGAAATGGGTGCTACAGTGAGAACAAGGCCACACCCCAGGACCGGGCCATGGGCCAGCCATCACGGCCTCTGTTGGGAAGCCCTGCCCCAGTCTATGCTTAACTGGATAGATCCCACTGAGCTCACTCACCACCTCGTTCTGCAGAGGAACACTGAACAAAAAGTGAAAGGAACATTTGTTAAATGACCATGGCCCCACTCTCTCCATTTTATCTGACTTATCAACTTTGAAGTTTTCAGATGCATTTATCCCTTTCATCTCTCCATAAGGAAGCAATCCTTAATTTTGTTGATGTATTTTATTTCTAAAACACCCAAATGTCATTTTGGTATTACTTCTTACTTTGTTCCTAACTGTATTGGAAAAAGTAGCTCTACCCATTTTATGTATTCTTTTAGGAAATATTCTTTCCCTTAGAAGAAGATACACTTCATGCCCACTTAGTACATACAGAAGCCATAGCAGAGACTATGAATACAGCTAATGCAAAGAGCAACGATAAGAATATCAGCTTCCTCCAGAGAGACCTCACACTGACAGATGGAGATGGTAGGGCATATATTTCTTTATATTTATAGAAATATATGTATTCACATGCTCTATATATTTATAGAAATATATGTATTTCTATAAATGTATGTGTATGAATGTATACATTGATGTTAAAATTGCAAATGTAGAATGTCACACTGCCTATTAACACTGTTTATTCCAATAGCATCTTTCCCCCCTACTGATTGAAAAAATGAGATCTTTAACCAGAGAGGCTCTTGGACTTAAGAAAAGCAATGCATGTTAACTACATGTAGAGTCATAAAACTGAAAGCTGGGTCTCTGGACTTCCAGCCCAAGGCCTGCATTCCTTGAGTATATAATGCCTGCGAAGGACAGAATAAAAGGGATTCCAAAATCACAGGAGAAAGCTGATATAAAGCACATGTAGAGTCATAAAACTGAAAGCTGGGTCTCCGGACTTCCAGCCCAAGGCCTGCATTCTTGAGTATATAATGCCTGCGACGGACAGAATAAAAGGGATTCCAAACTCACAGGAGAAAGCTGATATAAAGGCAGACGACCCTGGCAACACAGATGCTTCGCCTGTGGATCACTGGGCCTTTGGAGTACTTACTTGATGGGCACATCAAAATAACCACACGCAATACAAGCAGAGCAATGCTGTGTTTGTCAGGTGGAGTTAGGAGGTAAGAGGATGGTGAGGTCTCACCTACTTTCTCTTTCCTTTCTGAAAATGGATTCTTTAAGTATGTCACCACCAACGATAAATATCAAAGTTAACTGTTACGAGTTTTGGGAATTCCTTTCTTCTTCAAAGAAAGAACAAGTGCACAACTAGAAATGATATGTTAAAAATTTATACCATTGCTCTCAGTTCCCATGGAATGCCAAGAGGCAGACAGTCAATTCTAGGGTGAAGATGAGAAAGGCCATGGTGGGTAAATCTGGAGGCTGAAGGTAAATGTGAAAAAGCAGCCCAGTCGGCATGGCTTGGG